GTTGTTATGACACTTTATCCAATTTGGGGTATATTTATTGTCATGTTTAGTTTCAAGAAACTGTGTTTCCTCATTCTTTCTTTGGCATCTTACCATTTTTTCCATCACTTCCTCCGGTTCTAACTAGTCCTCCTCACATGGACGACTAATCCCGGCCCTCCATAACCCAACTCCATCACAACCAACCCCAAATCTACCCATTCACATATCTCGTACCCTGGTCACACCTTCTACCTTCCAAAATCAACTAAATTTCTCATTTCCCTTGCCTCTTCCCAGTACCTGAACCGCTCAGTTTTTGAGCTTGCTACCCAGCCCCTAACCCTTTCTCGTAACCTAGCAACCAACCCTACACCCTAGCCAACTTCACTCACGGCCACACCCTGGCAGCCCCAACACAGCCCCACCCCTTCCACTGCATTGTCCCACCCATTATATGACTACCAGTGCTAAAAGTAGTATTTGTAAACCCTATATATATATATATGCTATCACTTCTCTCACAAGTCTTCCTACTTTTGAACCCAATACATTTAAAAAAGGAAACGCCTATAAATTTTGATGTCGTGCAGTAGTGATATAGATGAGGAATATTCATCCCTACTTAAACAGAACACATGGGTAGTTGTTTCGAGGCCTCTCGGTCATACTCTGATTGGATGTAAGTGGGTTTGTAAGAATAAGCATAATGATGATGTATCTCTTTCGCGCCTTGCTTTGAAGAGTTATAACCAAGAGTATGGCTTAGATTGTTCAAAAAACTTTTAGTCATGTTGTTAAACAATAGGTTATTCATATTATTTTAACTATTGCCTTTTTATATAATTGGCTACTTTAGTTAACAGCTTGATGTCTGAAATGCTTTTCTGCATGGTGAAGTTGAAGAAGCTAGATATCTAAATGACTCAAGCACGTGGCTCTCTTGATTTACAATTTCTTTGTCATGTCCGTAAACTCACAAAGTCCTTAGATGGATTGAAACAAGCTCTGTGTGTGTGGTACCAATGGCTCTCTACATTCTTATTTGTGTATGCATTTTGTAAGAATGAACGTGGAGTGATACTAGTCTCTTTACATTACATGGCTTTACTGGTATTCTTATTTTGTTCATATATGTTTGACGATGATATTGTTGACACAAATATCTCCCCTGCTCTCGTTCAACACTTTATTGCTCGAATGTGTGGCAAATTTCAGACAAAAGATCTTGATTCACTTCATTACTTTTTTGGACATGAGGTGAGCTGCACTTCTTCATCTTTTGGTTTTTTCCCAGCGCAAGTATGTCAATGAACTTCTTCATCATCCTGCCATGGATAGTTGTTGGCCTACCTCAGTGCCACTGTCGATTGGCCACTAGACATGGCAGGAAGGAGGGATGAGCCCTTTCATGACCCTACCATATTTCAAATAAAGTCTAGCTACTTGGTGGTCTTCAAAATCTCACTACAGGAAATGGCTTTTAGAGCTTGAAACATAATATGCGCATTGCTAAAGGGATTGTTTGCTAAAGGGATTGTTTACGCGCATTCAATCTCGTGAACTACAGCTACGGGCTTACTCTGATTCATAATAGGTCAAGGACATAACTAATGGGCGTTCAGTCACTGGATATTACATTTATCTTGGTCCAAATTTGATCTCACAAAAAAATCAGACCCTCGCGTCCAAATCCTCTAATAAAGAAAAGCATTGAACATTCTCCCATGTTGCATCTATCTAAGGTTATGTGGTTAACCTATTTCTAGCTGATTTACATAGTCCACTCTCATCACTACAGCTTTTGGTGATAATTAGTTGGCTACATGTCTCATGAAAAATCTGATATTTCACAAGCATGTGAAGCATATAGGTATAAACTCTCATTATGAAGATCCAGTTGTCGATTCTAACCAAAGCCCTTGTTTCACCTCACATCCCAACTCTTATTTCCAAGCTTCCATTCATGATATGAAGTTTAGTTTGAGGGATATTAGACAATAATAACAATAAGAGTAAATTCCATAATTGGTCCTTTATAATAAGGAGGTTTCCATATTTAGTCCTCTATTACCAAATATTACCCTCGTAGTCCTTTTTTTAAGGGTACCTTTCCACAAATGGTCCTTTTTTTGATCTTCTTTCGTGTTGGTGTTAATTTAAAGGCTAAAAGTATAATTTGACATCAACATTATGTTTAGTGACATGTTCAGATATTGGTTAAGCAGATAACATAAAAATAATGACTATGGTTGTGGGCTAGAGTTCTGACGAAAGACCACATTTGTAGACTATGGTTGTAGTAGAAAGCGACTGCAATTCACAAACGATGCAAACGGAACAACCTTTGAAATTGTGTATGACAAAAAAGATATACTATCATTGTGAGATTACACTTTTAGCTCTCAAATTAACACCAACATGATAGAAGATAAAAAAAAGGACTATTTGTAGAAAGATACCCATAAAAGAAGGACCACTTGGATAATATTTGATAATAGAGGACTAATTAGGGAAACTCTCTGTTATAAAGGACCAATTATAGAATTTACTCTAACAATAATAAGTAATTCAAATTATAGTAGATTTTACTTCCTCCGTCTCATAAAACATTTCAAAAGTGAAAAAAGTTGCACCCAAAAAAACGTGTAATTTTTATATTATTTTCTAGATTTGTCTTTGCTTATAGTAAAGTAGGACATGGGATAAATGAATCTTAATTAGAAAATAATTTAAAAATTACCCTTTTTTTAAAAAAAGATTTATGGGAGGAAGAAAGTATATTTTTAGTGAACTTCTATTATTCAACACTAGTTGTGTTAGGAGTTAGGACTCTCTGATCTACTATATATTTTTTGACATTTATATCCTCCTTCATTGTTTTTTGAATTTTGAGTAATACAACTATTACACTATTCTATCAACTACATTATGAAATAAACTACGGAGTAGTACTTTAAAAAAAGATACTAACATCATGCATGAACTTATAATTAACTAGTAAATAAATAATGAAAATTAACGATTAATTTCTTTATTAGGTTCTTGTATCTATATGACTTATTTTACCATTAAGATCATCATAAATGACAAGTAGTAATTTCTTAAATTAATGCAAACAAGAGGCGACAGATCAGTTACAGAACAATATTCCCAATCAGTTAATACATCAAATTAAACCACATTTCTAGAACAGAATTTTTTTATTCAAAGTAAATAAATATATAAAACAATTTATTTTAGTATTCAGTAAATATATTTTTCACGGTAAAAATTAAACTAAGAAGCGGAAAAAGAGTAAACTAAGAATAAATATTGAAAATATACTGAAATAAGAGTTTTATGTTTTTATTTCCGAAATGCATTTGCATTACCAATTATGACTACGTACATTACCAAAAAATATAGTAATATGTACATGTACAGTGTCACACTATCACAATGTGAACTCATATTCAAGAAATAAAAATATGATATTTCTATTTTGGTACGTAGTTTTACTCCTATTTAGAGTAATTTTTTTACTAAAAAACGAATATATTATTAACAAAAATTGTTGTATAGAATACTCTAAGTATTACCTCCTTCCTTCGTATTTAGTTATCCACTTGTTCCAACAAATGCAAATTTAAGAAATGAGGTAAATGACAAAAATACCCATGAAATTGGCTGGACATCAATGGATTAAACAAGCCTAGCATGGGTATTTTTTAATATAATTAATTGACCAAAAATTGTTTACAAAATACATACTTGGTCCGTCCCTGAGTTTTTGTCCACTTTTGACTTTTGGAACGGTTCATCTAAGCACTTTGACTTATCAAATTCTCTCAATGTGTAAGCCTAAAAATAGTCATGTGTGATCTTGTTTGATTCGTCTTAACATATAGATTATTAATATATAATTTTTATTTTTTAATATACAAATTACAAGATAAAATGGATTAAAGAAGTGCATTGAATGGTGTGCAAAAATGAAAGTGGACAAACACTCAGGGACGTAGGGAGTATATGATATGTACGTCTAGCTATCGTGTTAGCATTTAATTTTAGCATTTTTAAAATTCTAAAAATGTGATCGACGAATTATTTTTTTAAAAAAAAGAATGAAGTTTGTCAAAAAAAAAAGTGTACAATAAGTTGAAGTACAACTATTAATATGTTGTATAAAAAGAATTGTGATTAATTTTATGACAGTTAATATGATGGGTAAATGCTAGTCAAGTCAATTTGGGTATAGTTTAAGTCCTTGACTATTTTCAATCTTGTTTATTATCGCTTTTACCTACTTAATAATGCTAATCAATTTGACCCACTTAATGCAAATATTGACCACTTAGAGTAGTCAAGCTAAGTTTGTAATATCTTACTCAATGTTCAGTGTGATTTTTAATTTTGAAATTAAATTGAGCAGACTTTGATCATTAGTTATACAAAATTATATTGTATATTAATATCAAAATAATTTTATTATATTTATTTTGTAAAAAATGACAAATTGTTTAATTTCATTGTATTAATATCATAATATGTGACATAATTTTTATTTTATTGTTGACAAAAAGTCATTCAATTTGGTTAAAAAAGAGTCAAACTGGACGAATATTCGAAATTGATTTTGCAAGTTTTATTTCTTACACAGCTCCATCTATTGTTTTCTATTTATATATTCAAATATGATGTTTACTTATTTGGGAACAACTATAGTCTTTTGAAATTATCTCAAGACAACGTTTATCGATCTCTAACGTTTTCATAATTAATCTGTATTATTTTTAAAAATAATCCGGCCAAAACACTAACTAATTACATTTTAATATTCGACCGATCGACGCGACCAAAACGAATTATTAGTATACGCACACTAAGTCAAGTACACGTATTTTCGAAGAACGCCCAACGCACGCAAACCTGCATTGTCGTCGTCGGATCGAATCTGTGACTCGACGGCTACGATGAGTCCATAAATTAAATATGTAATAAATGCTCCCTATATACCATTACTAAGCTACCAAGCTATGCATAAATCATATAATACCATTGTTTTCTTTCATAATCTTCTTCTTCTTCTTTCTCATCTATATATGTAAACCATCATTTCATCAAACAGTTTGTACAAGTCTCAAACAATGGAGGAGTTTGACACTAATGCCCTCCAGCCCTATTCTCTTCCAAGCAACTACTTCAAGTCAGAATTTGATGATGTTTTCCACACCGAAGAATCCAAGGGCAGTGGGTACAGCTTCCAAGACTTGCCCCTACCGTTCGACCACGACCACTTCGCCTCGCTCGTGGGCCCCACCCCGGTCTCCGCCTTCTGCCCGGATCTCACCTTCGGAGACCCTTTCGACCCCTTCTCGAATCGCGACAACTCGTCGCCGTCGCCGTCTTCTCACGGCTACAACAACCTCGGTTTCTTCGAGCCCTCACTGCCCGGAAACCCTAATTCTCTGACCTTCGGTCAGGGCCCGAAACAGTCTCCGAAGGCGGCTACTGTCGAAGTCCCTGACGAGGGCTCGTGCGTCTCTGCGGAAATAGGGTTCCGCAGAGAGGCGAGGCTCAGAAAGAGGAATTGTAGCAGTAATAACGGTGTGTCGTCTTCGTCGTCGTCTTCGTCTTCTTCCATGAAAAAACATGCCAAAGGGAGGAAGAAGGGAACATCATCCAAGGGACAATGGAGTGTGGAAGAAGACAGGTAAGACATGGCATGACATCATCAATGCCCTAAAGTGTCTCAAATAACCTAATAATAGATCTTCTCTTTTCTTATCAAATTCAGACAAATAATATATGATGGAATTATTCTTTTAATTTCAATCTATCTTGTACTAAAAAGGATCATACAATTCATTCAAAATCTATGAACATAAAATTTCAAAAAATCAACTTAATTTATTTCATTTATGTTCATCATAAACATTAATGAATGAATTTATTACTTTCTATCCCAAAAAAAAACCTCCTATTTTTTAATACAAATTACAGGAAAAATATACGGAGTATTCATTAATTAATATTTTAATTTTCTTGCAATTTTTTTTAAAATTTTTTTCCCTTTTCATAGGTATATTAATTTTATTAGATTAATTTTTTGATTTTGAATAGTACAATTTGTATATAATGGTTTCCATTTTAATTGTTAATTATTTATTTTATGAAGAATATTGATCCAGCTGGTGGAGAAGCATGGAGTTAGGAAATGGTCACACATTGCTCAATTGCTGAAAGGGAGGATAGGGAAGCAGTGCAGGGAGAGATGGCACAACCATTTGAGGCCAAATATCAAAGTAATTAATTACTACATATTTTCTACTATTTATTTATTTACTTTTTTACTATTTTTGCTCACTATTATGATTTTTTTCCCAACACTATTAATTACTATTTTTACAACACTACATTCCCTATTTGGAGATTTTTTGATAGAATATATTCTTCATTTGGCATATTCGTCAAAGGTAATGTACGTCATCTACTATCGAACATGAACAATATACCCAGTAAAATCTCACAATTACAATGCACGGATTTCAAATTCGTATAAAATGCCTCTATTTAGCCCTAAGAATTTTGCACAAAATATTATTTTAATCTTTATTTTGAATAAATTTCAATTAAATAATTTTTTTAAATAAGCATCATGCAATTTACTTTCTTAATAGGGAGAAATTAAGGGGCAGTTCAATAGCACTCAATTTTAGGTTAGTTCAATATTATTAATTCAATTTAGTACCAATAAATTCAGTTCAATTACATTCTTTTCAACAATATTAATAATAATACTAATTAATATTAATACTTTGTATATGTTTGTATAACGTAAACATTAATATTAATTTGTTTTTGTTTTTGTAATTGGCATTCCAAACACTATGCATAGTTAATAATAATAATAATAATAATAATAATAATAATAGTAATAGTAATAATAGTAATTATAAATATAACAACAAAAATAAAAAAATAATATTATTTTTATAATTGCTTAAATATTACTCCGTATACAACAATATTATTATTATTATTAAATATTTAAATACAACTATAAATAGTCAAAATAAAAAATAAGAATATTGTTTTCTTAAAGGTATTATTTTATTATTATTGTTATTATGGCTGTTGTTGTTATTAATATATATGGAGTATTAAATACTTAAAAAAATTATTTCACTACCTATGAATTCACTTAAGACCATTTTTTCAATTCAATTAGAACTCCCTAAATATGAGTAAAATGATACCTCCTATGAAATTGCCAAAAAATATATCCTAGCTTTATACTCCCTTGTCCCATTCTTTTTTCTCATTTTGATGACTTTTGTGGTCAATATTTTTAAATTTCAAACACAAATTACAAAAAAAATACATTAAATTTTAATATAAACTAAATACCAATAGACTTATTTTGAAACAACATTCCTTCATTTAATTCAGATAAAGTTTACAAGTTTCTCTATAAATGTGCCTCACTCAAAATCTAGAACGTTATTTAGATTTTGTTTGAAAGTAGTGACAATGTTTGACTATAGTCACGATTCTAAGTTGGTTAGTTGACTGAATAAGGGCTGGTTTGGAAATAGTATTTTTGATTAACGTTAAGATTTTGGATAAAATTTTAACAGTACGTGCAGATTGACTTTGAAACACTAATGCTAAACGATGTTCATTGTAATCTTTTCAAAATGTTAATCTCTAACGCTATTTTCAAACATGTCATAAGTAAAATAACACAGACAATAATCATGATTTATTTTACTCCTCCGTCCTACAAAACTTTCTTCTTTAATTTCTTTTTTCAACTGTCCCAAAATGTTTTTCTCATTTTTATTAAAAAGTTATTTTTACTCCTATCAATTCTTAACATATCTATCACTTCACATTTTTTCACTATTAATCTATTCACAACTTCCTACTTTTACTCATCACGTTCGAGGGTATTTTTGGAAACTCAACACCAAAATATACTCCCCTTAAATTCTTTAAAAATCAAAACCAGAAAGGGTTTGTGAGACAGAGAATATTATTTTTTGTGTATTACTCCCTCCGTCCCACTCTCTTTGTCCACTTACCTTTTGGCACACCATCCAATACACTTCTTTAATCCATTTTATCTTATAATTTGTATATTAAAAAATTATAGAAATTATATATTAATAATCTATATGTTAAGACAAATCAAACAAGATCACACATGACTATATTTAGGCTTACACATTAAGAGAATTTGATGAGTCAAAGTGCTTAGATGAACAGTTCCAAAAATCAAAAGTAGACAAAGAGAGTGGACGGAGGTAGTATATAATAATGCAACTAAATTAATATCATGAAATTCATTTTTGAGTATTTATTTATGAATCATTACATATATTCATTGGGTTTTTTTTCCTTTTTTGAAATGTGAAAAAAATGTAGAAGGACGTATGGAGCGAGGAGGAAGACGAGATACTGATAAAAGCACACGTGGAGGTTGGGAACAAGTGGGCGGAGATAGCGAAACGCCTCCCCGGGAGAACGGAAAACTCCATTAAGAACCACTGGAACGCCACCAAGCGCCGCCAGTTCTCCCGCCGCAAATGCCGCACCAAATGGCCCCGCCCTAGCTCCCTTTTGCAGGTACTCCAAATTCAATACTCCTCCTCCATCTCCTCTCCCCCAACTAAAGTTTCCTTTTCCAACCCAATTATTGACCTGTTTGAGAATGACGTTAGAGATTAGCGTGAATGTTTTAGATAAAATTTTAACGGTGCAGATTACTTTGAAAATGCTAACGCTAAACGTTGCCTGTAGATAGCTTTTTCGAAACGCTAACGCTAATCTCTATCGCTATTCCCAAACAGGCCCTATATTGAATTTAGAGTAAATTCCATAATTGGTCCTTTATAACAAGGAGCTTCCCTATTTAGTCCTCTATTATCAAATATTGTCTCAGTAGTCCTTCATTTATGGGTATCTTTCTACAAATAGTCTTTTTTTATCTTCAATCATATTTTTGTTAATTTGAGGGCTAAAAGTATAATTTCACAATGATAATATATCTTTTTTGTCATACACAATTACAAAGGTTGTTTCATTTGCGTCGTTTGTGAATTACAGTCGCTTTCTACTACAACCATAGTCTACAAATGTGGTTTTTCGTCTGAATTCTAGTCCACAATCATAGTCATTATTTTTGTGTTATTCGCTTAACCAATATCAGAACACGTCACTAGACATATTGTTGATGTCAAATTATGCTTTTAGCCTTTAAATTAACACCAACTTGGCAGAAGATCAAAAAAAGGATCATTTATGGAAAGGCACCCTTAAAAAAAGACTACGGGTGTAATATGTGATAATAGAGGACTAAATATGGAAACCCCCCTGTTATAATGGACCAATTATGGAATTTACTCTTGAATTTATATTATAATTCAATATAATTTATAATTTATACTCCCTCCGTCCCAAATTATTTGTCACATTTCTATTACCGAGGCAAAATATCAAGTTTTTTCAATTTATTTTATTTACATATTAGTAAAGAAATAAAAAATAAAAATTACATATCAAAAAATACATGAAAAGTTCTTCGAAATAAGAGGTATCAAGAATATTTTATTTTATCAAATAACCAATGAAAATGTAGAAAAAAATAAAAGTTCACGCGACTATTAAAAAAGCAAATGTGACAAATAATTTGGGACAGAGGAAGTATTATAATTTAATATACTCCCTCCGTCCCCAATTTGATTAAAAATTGCGGGTTACGGAGTAAAACAGAGTACTTTTTTGTAACTTGTGGTCAAAATGTGTCATTATTTGACTAAAAAAAATTAAAACGGAAAGAGTTTTTTGGATCGGATGGGGTAATATTTTGGGGTCGGGCTCGAAGTTTTTGCTCAAGCCCACAGCCCGGCATGGTCGGAATGAATAATAATATTTATTATTATAAGTATAATAAAATAAAAATAAAAAAATAATGCTTAAAATAATAAAAATAACAATACTATTTTAAATTTTTATAAACACACATGTATACTTTTATAGAGAAAAAGAGAGAATTATTAATATATTTAATAAAATGAATAGACTACTAAAAATTAAAAGAATGCAGCACTATTACCGCATATTATTTACGCTATATCATACATTGATAATGATATTCTAATAAATAATACTCTGTAGTAAATTATCAAACAAAATACATTTTATACACTCCGTATTAGTCTTTCTTTGATATACTCATTATTGTTACTACATCAAACATCTAATAAACTAATGCATTACTTTATTTAAAAAATCATTTTTAAATTGTTTAAAAGTTGTTGCTCACGTGGACTGTGCCGGTCCGAAGCCCGCGGGTATCAGTACATGTCGGGCTTGAGTTTCAAATGTTAGGCCTGCTGTACGGGCCGAACCAAATTCGAACCTAGAAAATTCTCATAATATAGCGTTTTAACACATCCCAAAATTTAGCCCGGACTGCAATTTGATCAGGTCATCTAATCATCACTCGTGCATGCAGAACTACATCAAGACAATCCTAAATGCGGAGAAAAATGGAGCAAGCACCGGTGCCAGGAGGAAAAACCCGTCAACCAGCGTTGACGGGTCGACCACGACGACTGCATTGCCTCCAGTGAAGGTGGGACCAGTGGGACACTGCAACGGCACTGCGGACCATTTAACCCCGGATTATAGCTTTGCATTGGATGAGAAGTTTCTTGGGGGAAGTGGAATTGAGTCTTTCATTGAAGACATTCCAGATGGGCCTCTAATGTTGGATGAGAGCTACATGGAGGAGATGGGATATGGTGATCATATGCCTCAACTCATGTTTGGTGGTGAACCAAAGGAGCTTGATTTGATGGACATGATTTCTCATCATGTCAATCTCTAATTAAATTTCATTATTAATATATATACTCATACATAAATTAAACACTTAATTCAATTATTTAATATTGGTTTAAAACATATTAATATATTTTATTTAAAAAACATAATATAAACCATTAAAGGATTTTTTTGGGGGGAAAAGCAAAAAAAGAAAAAAAAAACTTGACCCAGCTAAAACCAATGAAGACTGCCACGTCAAAAACTGAGAAAAAATGAGAGTTTATATATATAGATATAGATAAAAAAAGATTATGAAAATTTAAAGGTCTAGTTATTTATTTATTTATTTATTTATTTATTTATTTATTTTAATGTATACATGCAAAGAAAGTCTATGCATGGCATACTCTATATATATGCATGACTACCTTTTAAAAGGGTGATACAGAATAATTATGTTGACCTATTTATTGTAACGCAACTTTTTTTGACGATTTGACAATATGTTATATTGATGGATTTCCGGGCATGTTAATTAATTACGATTAGTGTTCAAAGTATTTCTCTTTGCTTATAAGTGGATAAAAATAGTTTATAAGCTAAGTTAACTAGTATTTTGACCCGTGCCATGCACGGGCTGAACAAAAAAATTTTCAATTCTTTTTTTCATGTATTATTTTTTGTGGATTAAATTAAATAAATTTCTTACATGATTTTTAATACTATATATACATCAACATCAAAATAGAATAAATAATATTTGAAGAATTGAAAGTATATACAACACAACGACTTAGTAAAATCCAAATTTTTTGAAACACTTCAGAGTATGCAACATTTTTGGTATGGTTGCAAGAGTTCCTATTGTCATCTAAAATAAACATTTTTAATTATGTATTTTTCTTCACTCGTGGAAACTATTGGAAATTGTCTTTTTTGAAACTTTAGGGGGTAGCCTTGGATCATGTGGTACCAAATTTATTCGAGGTATGTAAACCTTTTTCCCGTCTCAGTTTCTCGAAACCACGATTGCACGGTTAACATTTTTTTGTACCTCTTCAACAATTAATCTTGTACCATTATACAATCCAAATAACATAATCAGTACACTTTTTTTCAAAACTATTTTTTGAATTTGTTTGGGATCCCCGAACATCAGGACATTTGATTTCATTCAAAAATTCAAATGTTATCCAATAAGCATTAACACCTACATTGGCATCTGCTTGCCATTAAGAATCATAACTCAATTACTCCTTTTTCATCACTGAGAATGAGGAATAAGACAAACTCATTTATCATTTCAACAATTTCGAGAGTGGATGCTAATGGTGCCTAATCCTAAAAAAGGAATATTTTTTCATATTCTCCAATAACTTCAGATAAGTGAATTCTAGTACTATACTCTTGGGAGGATAGCTTATGTCAAGAATCAAGAATCCAGTCAGAATTTTAACGTTAGCAATTCCACCAATCACTTGACCAAGCTTTCCATCTCCAATTTTGATTATCTAATCAGAAAAAGCTTGTGTATCCCTATCTAGGTAAGAGGACATAGATGAATGCAATATCTTATTCTTGCTCAACGTAAAAACTTTACAATACAACCTCTATTTTGGGGAAATCACTGTAGCACCTATAGTTTTCTCTCTCGAAGCTTTGGTAAAATTGGAAGGAAGTGGCAAAAATCACTT